GGGGGGGGGGGGGGGGGGAGTGGTCAGTATATCACAGTGTCGATTCGGACAATTTGAGCGGCAGACAGGCTCTTAAACTCCTCTATACATCTCTGCACCTCTACACAAATCCATGGGTGTTTTGTAGCATTTGGAGGGCCGATCGTAAAAACAGCTGAGTGGTGCAGGCAGTTAACCTCAGGCCACCGGCTTTCACATAGAGGGACTCCAGAGACACAAGGAGGCCTGTGGGACAGGCAGGAGCAATATCACACCTCTCACGGTCACAGACACATCACGCACGTGCTCTCACTGCTGCTTACACAAAAATGTACACACACACACAGAGTGACGGAGAATAAATCAGGTTGACAGGAAAGTGTGCATTTCAGCAGGTTTGGAGAAAACGGCTTGTATGAGAGAATGTCTGTTGTGTGTTGAACCTGTGGATGGGTGAGTGTGGGTAAGCATTACGGGCCTTGACACTGTAACCTCCAAATATTAATCTTTACACTGACACAGCAAGTGCACACACACACACACACAACACAAAACAAAACAAAGCAAAGCAAAAAGCATGTGAGAGTGTGTGCTAACGCTGCAGAAGTGCCCACTTTTCCACCGACAGGTTGCGACACCTATCATCTGGGCAGATTCAGAATTAAACCAGAACTGTTTTCTGAATAACCTGACTGTCATGACATTATTTCATGAGAAACAGAAAATAAAATACAATCACACTAAAAAACAAACAAAAAAAACGAATAAAATATATGATCTATTATAATAAATATTATAGAAACAAACAATTACAGTCATATTTCAATTATATGATTATTAATTTAGTTTACAATTTAATAATTTACTGACATACATACCATTAAAAAATATTTCTTTTGACATTATTAAGAATACAGTATATTTAAAATAAAAGCAGCTGAATGTAAGAGGAGTTTTTCTTTTTTTCTATTTTCACTCAATAGAACAAATCTTCTTCTATTGTATCTGTAATTCAGCGTTTATCTAAAATATAAAACATAAAAGCAAACACACAAGTATAGGGGCTTTATAAAAGAGACTGTCTGAAGCGTCTTTGGGATTGTGCCATTGTCACGGGTGCTTGCTCTCTGTAAAAAGCCAGGCAGACTCAGTCATACACTCAATAATATAGTGAGGCCATTTTCAATCAGCAACTATTGTCTGAGTAAGAGAGGGATGGTGAAAGAGAGAGAGTGAGCATGAAAGTGAGAGAAAGAAAGTGAACTGTGGGTAACTGAGGAGAAGGTATAGCTCTTTTGTACGGAGTTCTGTCAGTAGTTCAGAAGGGGCAGCCGACCAACAATGAAAACTCTCAGCGAAGAGAAAGCATAGAACTGTTGACCTTTACTAGCAAAGCGTCAATTAGACAAAGAGTGTGAGTCTGTGATAAAGTGTGTGCATGATAGACCAACCACTTATCACCTCTCTCTCCCACGGAAATACAGTGCCATGCTCAATTTAAGCCATTATAATTTATAACTTTTTTTTTTTAAAATTACTTTTTTTTTTAAATCCTTCTTTTGACAATATGAAATTTTTAAAGGACTGAAACTTAATTTACATATGAAATGATTTGCTGGCAAATATGCTTCAAGTACATATATTTTTGCACAAAAATAATATTTTGAAAAGCAGAAATTACAATAAATACTGGCTTTTCCCTCGAGTACATGCTGGCTTCATTTGATCCATTCTTCCAAGGCAGATTTGCTCCAGGTTTTTAAAGTTAGTCAGATGACACCTGAACAACCTGATCCTGTCAAACAGTGCCACCTATTCTCATTGCCAAGGCCATTATAGGACATTTTATGCTTTTGAGCATTCATCTGGCCTTGCATCTGGGACTTTTGTTTTGGTAAAAAAAAAAAAAAAAGATACTTTGACGAAACTTTGATTCCCTTTTTGGCAGAATGAAATGTGTAATTTTGTCCAATTTTCCAGTATTTTGCATCATCCACTTTTCCTTTGATTTTAACAGCATATTGTGGGACAATACTAAATTTGTAGCATACATGTAACTCTGAAGCTAAAAATGGTTCTATGTTGGTCTCATCTGACTACAAAACATTTTCCCCTGAGCAACTATGCTGTGTGTCAAGACTTTTGGCAAACTCCAGAAGTGCTGCGACATGGTTCTTTTTTAACATTGTCCTCTTTTGTGTCACACTCCTGTATCGGCTAGCATTGTCCAGGGCTCTTGATGTGCTGTCTGGTGCACCCTCAGCTCCAGAACTTTGTAGCCCCTTCAAAGTGTCTGTTTGCCTCTCTGTAGCTTCCATCACAAGACTCCTGCTTGTTTGTGCAGAAAATGTTGTGGAACAAACCAGACTAAAAAGTTGTGTTTGCTCAATTGTGCTCCTTCCTGCAAAAAAATGATCTCGATGAAGAATTTCAGTCAGGTTTTTGGGTTAAACAAATACATTTTGCTTGGTTGAAACAGCAGCTACGGTAATTATCTCTCTATTCATTTCTCTGTTTTTTTGCCACGGGATGTAACTAGGATTACCACAAGCTTCAGTCTGGATCCAGAACACCTGAGAAGAGATGATGCCAACCCCTCAGAACTACCACATTTTACTATAAGTTTGATTGCATCATATAATAATTGCTGTTAATAGTGTTCATCGTCTGTTTTATTACATCTTAAATAGATTTTTCCATACATTTCTGCCATATGTACATTAACTGACAGTCACCACTGATAAGCTACCACTAAATATTGTAGAAACTTAATTTGCGGTAAAGTTGCTTTGCAATGATTTGTATGGTGAAAAGCGCTGTACAAATAGACTTGACTATTTAGCGCCCAAACTCTGGAATAACCTACCTAACATTGTTCGAGAGGCAGACACACTCTTGCGGTTTAAATCTAGATTAAAGACCCATCTCTTTAACCTGGCTTACACATAACATACTAATACACTTCTAATATTCAAATCCGTTAAAGGATTTTTAGGCTGCATTAATTAGGTCAACCGGAACCGGGAACACTTCTCATAACACCCGATGCACTTGCTACATTGTTAGAAGAATGGCATCTACGCTAATATTAGTCTGTTTCTCTCTTATTCCGAGGTCACCGTAGCCACCAGATCCAGTCTGTATCCAGATCAGATGGTCACTGCAGTCACCCGGATCCAGTACGTATTCAGACCAGATGGTGGATCAGTACCTAGAAAGGACCTCCACATCCCTAAAAGACAGCGGAGACCAGGACAACTAGATGAGCCCCAGATACAGATTCCCTGTAAAGACCACATCTCAGACGACCACCGGGACAAGACCACAGGAACCAAATCGTCTGGTCAGAGGAGAACTGATCCCCCCCCCACCCCGACTGAGCCTGGTTTCTCCCAAGGTTTTTTCTACATTCCAATTTTGGTTCCTTGCCGCTGTCGCCTCTGGCTTGCTTAGTTGGGGACACTTCATTTCCAGCGATATTGTTGACTTGATTGCAAATTATTGCAAAGATACTATTTAAACTGAATTGAGCTGGATGATGACATCACTGAACTGTCTTTAACTGAAAAATGAGTGTTTAC